CAAAACCCACTCCCTTCATGCTTCCGGCACCTATGGCGTCTCTCCAGCTGTTACGCTCTTGCATCGCTTTGCAATTACATATATATATGCCAGTTATTTATGCTGAGTAATTTTTTAAAATCAATATCAATAACCCAAATACAAGAAACAATTAAATCGCACAGCTCTAATTAAGGGCAAAAAACAACTTTTGACGCGTGTTTACAAAGTCAAGGACAATAACTCAAAAAAAGTTCATCAAAAATTTAGTTAGAACTTGACCGAGATCTTATCAATTTCAATGATCACACCAAGTTTCATCAAAATCGGTTGAAAACTGTAGCGTCTATTGTGCTCACAAACAAATTTTGACACGTCAAGGGCAATAACTCAAAAACCGTTCATCAAAAATGCGTCAAATTAGACTTGTCTGAGATCTTATCAATTCCATTGATTACACCAATTTTCATCAAAATCTTCTTTTGTGCTCACAAACTCATTTTGAAGCGTTTTACAAAGTCATGGGCAATAACTCCAAAAGCGTTTATTGAAAATGCCTTAAGTTAGAACTTGTCCGAGATCTTATCAATTCCAATGATCACACCAAGTTTCATCAGAATCGGTTGAAAACTGTAGCTTCAATCCTGCTCACAAACTATTTTTAACAAATTTCGACGCGTTTTAACAAAGTCAAGGGCAATAACTTAAAAACCATTCATCGAAAATGCATCAAGTTAGAACTTGTCCGAGATCTTATCAATTCCAATGATCACACCAAGTTTTATCAGAATCGGATGAAAACTGTAGCTTCAATCCTGCTCACGAACAATTTTTAACAAATTTCAAGGCGTTCTAAGTCAAGGGCAATATCTCAAAAACCGTTCATTGAAAATATGTCAAATTCGAACTTGACCGAGATCTTATCAATCTAAAGCATCACACCAAGTTTTATCAAAATCAGATAAAAACTGTAGTCTCTATAGTGCTCACAAGAAATGTTGACGTACAGACGGACAGGGGCGACAACAATATCGAATGAAAACTGTAGTCTCTATTGCGCTCACGAACAAATTTGGGCGTATAAGAAACGTACTTAAAGTAGAGTAAGGTACTTCTTATCAAAAAAAATTCAAGAAGGAACCTGTCTTGATCGATTGGAGCCAAATTCCTCTTCATCGGAATGAGAGTTCTATTCAAAATACAATGTCATTGGCTGAAGAACAGACCTATGTTAAGGGAATTACATGATATGTAGGGAAAGATCAAAAGTCTTTAAAAAGATGACTTCCAATAAGAAAAATCCTATGCCAATTCTTTTAGCATCAGGTACCATCATCATTGTGATTGACAGTGACATTACTGTTGACATGCAGGTGAATGACACTCACATTCACCACCTTTTACAAAAAGAATACAGGGAGTGAGAGACTCAGCTTACGTTGAACCAGGTTGATGAAAATTCCATTGCCAAGCAGGGATGACATGACGGTGATGTTGGTCGACAGCTGGAGGTCCCTAAAACCTGCCAATAGTACAGCCCTCTAGAACGACTTCATTAAAAACAAGTTGGTTGGGTCAGACGACTATTCAGTCTCAAATAAAATTTTCGAACCTGTTGGAAATGAAATGCAAATATTTCGAGATGGTTTGCTGCAATCACCTGGTTCAACAACATTTAAAGGCGTGTAACAAATCATCATGCTTGAAAAAGGGGTAGGAAAAAAAAACAATCCAATGAACGTGTAGAACCCCTTTGTGAAGGTAACTGTTCGATTGTGAAGGTCAGGATATTCAAGAATGATGAAGATGAACTAGAAAATAAGATAAATGAAGAAGAGGCCACCTGGGTTCCGACTTCAGCTTTCAGTGCCAGTGGTGAAGAGTTGACAACTACTAAGGGAGAGTTCACAGCCTTTAGCTGTACATCTGCAGGATCCATAAATCTGACCAGATATTCTAATGTAATTACTGCAGCAGACTGTGCTTTTTAGATGACCTCTGGTCGATTAAAACCAAAACACTTCTACATTATCAATTTCTTCTTTCTAAAAATGAAATGAATGGAGTTTTACGTCCTACTTTTCTGCACCATGTGGGCTAATGAAGACGAGCAACGCCATGCAGGGTGCAATGAGGGAAATTTAGCCTGCTCTTTTTCGATTTCCAACTGTAGAGGGATCTTTAACGTGCACAGCCTGTAGCACATGGGGCCTCGGTTTATTGTCCCATCCGAACGACTAGATGCTTTTTCCATGTCAGCCCCTCGTACCTGCATCACTGACGGGGAAACCAGGTTGAAAAATCCGAAGGTATTATCTCGACCTTTGCCGTCCTTTCTGAAGACTATGACCCATGCTGAAGTTTTGAAGATCAGATCATACTTCAGTCTCAAAATAGAGAAATTCTCTATAGAAATTCCTAGTTTGAGGTATTTTTGAAAGAATCATGCGCTTTTCTTAGTACTTCTGAAGACTATTTACATACATTCAAGAAATTATGTTTGTGCGACTGTAACAAATTAAAATATTTGGTTCAATATAATCAGTGAAAGGTGTCCCCAACCCCGGACCCGGCAGTAAAACGTAATGCTACAGAGATTAACCTCCCCGCCCATAGGAGCCATAAAAAAACGAAAAACTTGTAACCTTGTAACGTTAAATTGATTATGGTAATCAAATCCATGCTTATCATATAAATAGCCTAATTGTGATCGAATCAAATTAAACAGTGTTAAAATGCCTTAGGTTCTAGATAATGTTTGAAGATGACATCATCAGTTTGTGTGAATCTTGAATGATCACGTGAATCTTGGACCTAAAATATCTTGCAACATAATTTTAACTTCTTGGAATACAAAAAGAATTCTTGGTACATATTAAAAACTTGTAACACAAAATATTTTTGGGGGTCTAAATAAAAAAAATTCTTGGAACATAATTAAAGGAATACTACGTCTTAGAATAAACATAAAATTGAAAAATTTTAAACTTGGCCAATAAGACCAAAATATTCATCAGTAGATATACCTGGTGTCATAAATAACAAAACAGGATCCTTATATAATCCGATAAATCCAAAAAAATTATCTATAAATATGCAATTAACTATTGAAAAATGGTTAATATTAAGATTAAGCTTTTTTCAATAATTACCTAGTCTTATGAATTTTCCAATTTTCCAGGGATTCTGTTGTAACTTTAACACCAGGTAAGTTCACTGATGAATATATTCTTATATCGACCAGTTCTTGAGAACTTAAATTTTATGTTCATTCTAAGACATAGTATCACTTTAAAATTAGTCACATCTTTTCAGAATAAAAATAAAATACAGTTTTTGGGACCAAACTTTTAGTCTTGGTACATAATTTAATGATTTTGGTATATAAATAAAATTCTTGGTACTTGATATGAATTTCTTGGTATACGATTCAAGATTTTGGTATATAATATGAGCTTCTTGGTATGTGATTATTTTAAGTTGGATTTTTTCCGTTTTGGCATTTCATAGAAAACAAACAGAAAAACAGGAGATATTCGTCAGAAACTTTAGGGCAAACCAGTCGACCCAAACAGGCCTCCGTCCAGTATGCCTATGCATCTTAACCACTGTTGCCGATTAGATAATCGCTTGTATTATTGATAAAATCCAACACAAAATTGCATGAAAACAAAAGATAGCTGCTGATTAATCACCGCCAATGACCTCGCATCAAGGTCAAGGTCATTGTTTGAAGATCAAATGGCTTAGGTCATTATTTGAAGTATGGTACTTGTGTCATTCATTACATCATATATGACAGAAATTTGCAATTTTACTATTCTTAATTTCATGTTTTATCACAATTATCAAGCTATCATTTTAGTAAGGCTACAATGTCTGAATGTGCACGTACTGATGTGTCTCTGAATATTAATAAAATAAGTGGCATTTCAAAATGTAAAGAAGAAACTTATCTAGGTCACTGAGCTGTATGTGTTAAAAAATCTTGAACTTTGAGTACCGGTACCGGTACCTAGTTTGAACCAGTTTCTTGCAAATTGAAAATCGAAAATTTTGACCACAAAAACCAACGTAACTTTCGCAACACATGATTTAATTATTGATAAACCATCACGATAAACCTCTCAATTATTCAAACAAAAACACAGATGTTTATTTACTAGTGACAAGAAAAGCTTAAAGATTAATAAATATAAATTTTGTCAAATATGCCTTCCGTCAACTCCTAATAAGAGTAAAAGACAACTTGTCAGGAAAAGTAATATACGCCCACTACCAGCTGTCACACAAGATAACAAAGTCATTAGTGGCATAATGAATTTCAAATAATCAAGACAAACACTCACACCAAGTTTCATCAAAATCCATCATGAATTGGGCCTTCTAAAGTGTTTACGAGCGTTTTAAGAACAAGGGCAATAACTCAAACTAAATATTCAATATACACAAATATTTTTCGATTTTTTTGATTTTCAATAGGGTTCATCCTTTGGTGATTACAAACAACCATACCAAGTTTCGTCGAAATCAATCAAGAATTGTGCCTTGTAGAGTGTTTACTAGCAATTGTGGGTGGACAGACAATATACGCTCCGCATTTTTATGTGGGTGTATAAAAAGAGCAATTACCCCAGAACTGTTCATCTGATAATTACCAATTTCAAACTTGACTTAGATCTCATCAATATACACATGCAAACCAAGTTTCATCAAGATCGGATAAAAACTAGTATTTTTCGTGCCCTCAAGCCAATTTGACCCATTGTTACTTGCCAATTACTCAAAAACCATTTATAGAAAAATAATCAAATTCAAACTTGGCCAAGACCTCATCAATATAAATGATCACAACAAATTTCATTAAAATCAGTTGAAAACTGTAGTGTCTGTAGTCGTGTTCACAAGCCAATTGTGGACAGACAGATGGATAGGGGCAACAATAAATATATTATAATGTGGGCGTACAAAAAATGATATCACCTCGTAAATCACCAAATTTAAAGGTAGAGAAGGCCTACCTGCAAATGAACTGTTTCACCTTCATCATGCATAGCTTCAGGTTTCTCAGGAACACAGGCCATAAAAAAGGCTGTGTCAAATCTTCGACCAGATTTCTTGGAAAATGAATCTAATCCTGTTGGTGTTAGCCAGTTGGACCATTCATATAAACACCATACATCAGGGATAATTTTCAGCTCCTTACACATGGCTAAAAATTTGGATGGGTCTGCATACACTTCCTTTCGCCAATATTCTAATATATCTTTTTCATTATGGATAGGAGTACCTAGAATAGGTGATTTAGCCATGAAATCCGCTGTGATGTCTTTTAAGTCTGCAATCTTTCTGGCTAACAACACTCCACTTTCTTCAAAAGTTTCTCTTATAGCACAAATTCTGAAAGCCAATTCACTTGGGATATAACAAAATTGGGGATCTCTTTCTCTATTGAACATAGGACAATCAACTCCCCCTTTCTGAACATATTTAAAGGTATTTAAGGCTAGATCTGAATTAACACGAAGGAAATATGACCTCCAGTCAGCAGAAAAGTCTGCATCACTTGCTACACCTCCAGGAAACACATAAACACTTGGCATAAATCTACTTTTACTGCTTCGCTTTAACAGCAAAACATCCAAATTATCTCCCATAAGGCCTACTAATGCGGTTTTGTTTGTGTTGATTTTTTGTGTTGTATTTGTAGAGTTTAAAGGTTGAAACTTAACATTTTTCCCCGACTGTTTGCGTGTTACAAGTAGCAATGTCGCCGCCTCTCTCCAATGTTTCAATACAGCTGCCATAATTCCTTATGTGTTGAAAACCATATCTGACAAGAAAGGAAACATTTTGGGTCTAAAGTCCGAT